GATAAAAATGCTTTAGCAGTGCTTAGTGTATATGCAAAAAAATGCCATATAATGCCTATTAATAAAACAAATGGCCATTTTCAATATAATTATAAAGAAATGATAATAATATTTTTTGTTAGTTTTGTTAGTTCATACAAAAATTAAAACAAATAAAAAAGTTTTTCAAATTTTTAAGTAATTTTTTTTTAAAAAAAATTGTTGACAGTAGTTGGATACCTTAAAAAAGTAATTCGTATTTGGATAGGTTCAGAACAACATTTTTCTTTTAATAAAAAATGCATTTTGGAAAAGAGCCATACTAGCCATATGAACACTTTACTACTGTTTTTACTACTATTCGTTAAAGAACAAGTTTGGTTCATATTGTATTTTAATTTAGAAAGCGTTTTTTTTTTCGAACTTTTGTATTTTTATTACCTTTCTTTATTTTTTGCATTATTCTTTTCTTTGCGCAATGCTTTCGTGCATTTTTTCGAAATTCAATTTTTACAGCATTTTTTTTCCGAAGTTAATTTTTATAGTTTTAACTTAAGAATAAAAATAAATAGAATAAGGAAAAGTATATTAATTTTTTAACTTACAATTAATTATTATTACGCTGCACAGACATATTTAAAAATTCCTCAAATGCTCTAAAACTCTAGGTCTCGGTTTTGATTTTTTATTTCTCCATTTTTATATTTAAAAGAAGAAAATTTTATTTTGATGTTACGTTTAAGTATCAAAGCTATAAATAAATTTAATATATGTGTCATTGACATGACGAGAACTAGTATAAATATCTGGCTAATGAGGACAAATGGAATATTTCTGTTATTTAATTCCATTCACATTTTCTGCATCACAATTTATTAGATTTTTAAGTAGCAAATTAAAAAACTAGGTTTTTGTAGTTGGAAAGTGAAATGTAGTTTTTTTAATTGCGGTTTTTGACCATTCTTATTTATTATTTTTTAATAATAGGAAATTTAGTGTTATAAATTAATATGCTACTTATTTTAATAGTCACTTTTTTTGCTATAAACCGATGAGCTTAAACGAGCAAATGACACCACGAAACACAATAAAGTTCTCTAATATTAGTTCCGTATTTTTTAGTTGATTGACAATGGATTAAAAAAAAATTGATGATATGCAAACTGACCCTATTACACTTTAAAAGGCTTCGAATCAAATTACAGTTAATGCACCATCCATGAAATCCCTGTTACAGTACATTTTTACCTTAAAATTTTGTACTGTAATTTTTAAAGTAATACTTATTTAATCACTGTGTTTTATAGCAAATATTCTATTGTAAAAATTAGGGTAATTCAATATTTTTGTTTCATAAAATTTCACTTCAAAAATGGATTTTTTTGGGGAAAAGTACTGGCAGTCTGAGTGTTGGCATTTTTACCGGCACTCAGGGTAAAAGTACCGGCAATTTTGTAATTTGATATGAAATTTTTTACAGTGTGGTGCGGACAAAGCAATGTTTTTTTTATAAAACAATTATTAAAGAAAAATAAGCCCAAATCAGTTTATGTATCATCCAAAATAAAAATAAGCGTTTAAATTTTGTTTTAAAAAAATTATCAGATCTCTTCAAAATACTGATTAAACTTTTTACACAAATTTATTAAAGCTTTCCCTTTCAGCCGTTCTCTTCCCTACATAAATGATGTATTACCATGTTCAAAAAATAAACAAAGAAGAAAAAAGAACGAAACTATTATTAACTTTGTGTTATATATTATGTACTTTAGACATTTTCGCATAATGATTGAAGACTTTCTGATAAGATATACTCTAATATGCAACAAATGTGGTATAAAGTTTTCGTTGTATTTAAAAACATATATTCATGAATAGTAAATTGTTGTCTTATCTCAATAAATAATTCGCGCTTTGTCAATTCTTTTCCCAACGTCAACCTACCTGATCAATCATTTCCTCGGAATCAAATATTCAAATGGAGTGATGTTGGACAGAACACCTTTCAAATTTTGGAAACATATTTCTTTTACTAATCTTATTATATTACAGCTTTAGAATTTCTTTCAAATTTCTAAAGAACTCTAAGTTATCGATTTAGTTATCAACAAGATGAATATTTTCTTTCTTTCTTTTTTTTTGTTTGGTCTTGACATCTTACTTCTTCAGCGTCTTGCCTCTTTTATTATATAAATTTACAACAATCTTTGTTTTTTTAAGAATGGGAAAATAAATGAAATTTATTGAAGATAAATTTGTTCTTGATCAACTAATCTGGAAAATACTCTCCCAGTAGTTAAGTCAGGAGGGTAGTCGAAAGTTTAGGCCCCTTTATGGAAATTTTAATACGCATTTTGCTATTTTCCTGAAACTAATGAAGCTAATCAAAAAGTTTTTGGACACATTTATAAGACTTGCTTGAACACAATTCAATGTAATTTTCTTAATCATTAATTATTTTCTATTTTTTAATTTATTAACGATCAAAAAAGTTGAATTGTAAATTATGAAAATTTTTACAGCTATTTAATTTTAAATTCAAATTACAAAATCCAAAATTTGAAGGAAGTAATTCTCGAGCCAAAAAAAATTAAAATACAGTTTCGTTGAGACGTCCAAATTAAAAAAATAGAAACCTTTGGCATCTCTTTTGACTAAGCTCAAAAAAGTTGAATTGTAAGGCGTAAGCATTTTTGCAACAATTTAATTTTCGTAAATTCAAATTTAAAAATCCAAAATTTGAAGTAAGTAATTCTCGAGCAAAAAAAAATTTAAAATACAGCTTCTTTGATACGTCCAAATTAAAAAAATAGAAACCTTTGACCTCTCTTTTGACTAAGCTCAAAAAAGTTGAATTGTAAGGCATACGCATTTTGCAACAATTTAATTTTCGTAAATTCCAATTACAAAAATTCCAATTACAAGTAATTGTAAATTACATTTACAATTACTTCCTTAAAATCCAAAATTTTAAGGAAGTAATTCTCGAACAAAAAAATTAAAATACAGCTTCTTTGAGACGTCCAAATTAGAAAAATAAAAACTTGTGACCTCTCTCTAGACTAAATTGAAAAAAGTTGAATTATAAGGCATACGCATTTCTAATTTTCGTAAATTAAAATTACAAAATCCAAAATTTGAAGGAAATAATACTTGAGAATCAGAAATTTAATAAACAGTTTCTTTTAGACCAATGTTCCCCAACCCCCGGTACCGGTCCGTGGATCAAATGGTACCGGACCGCCCATTTCATTGAAACTGAATTTAAATTCCTAGGTTTATACCCCAAATTAAAAATATCTGTGTTCTATTAAAATTTTATTTATTTAAAAAAAAGGGGCCCCGAAGGTAGAATACCTCGAGATTGGCAGAATGCCCTGCAAAATACCCCGAGATTGCCACCAGAGCACTTAAATCCCCATTGCCATTTCCGACAACCTATCAATGTAAAGCGGGGTATTCTGCAGTAACAGCAACCAAAACAAAGCAACGGAATAAACAGGACATAAGCAACACACTTCGGGTGTCATTGTCTCCGATTACCCCCAGATGCATTTATTGCAAAGAAACAGGCTCAGGGTTGTCATTGATTTAACATTCTACTAAATTAAAATGTTAAATCACTTTATATTTTTTTTGGTGTAACTGTGTTTTATATTGAAGGCATGTTTAAATACAATTAAATTAAAATTCAAAAACCAAAATAATTTAAAATATAAACAATCAACGTCCCCCACCCCACCGGGCCGCGGTAAAATTATCAAACGTTGACAAGTCTGTTGTGATAAAAAGGTTGGGGAACACTGTTTCAGACGACCAAATTAGCAAAATAGAAACTTTCGACCTATATCTCTTGACCAAATTTTTAAATTCTATGGGACCATTGTTTTCTAAATTGCAACTTCCCCCTTCCTTTTTAAAGAGTCAGGAATTCAATTCGTCGAAAAGAAAAGGTATGTTTATTGAGAGACTGTACGTTTTTATCTCCTATTTCTTAACTTAAACTATCATTTGATCTAACTAATTAGTATATTTCAGATAAGGACTTCGAACCTACAAGATTGAGTCCTAGTACATCATAAAAAATTCTGGATCAAATTACTGTATAAAGTGCGGTACTTTGGGGGCAAAATCCGTAAAATCCATTTTTACCTGAGGACTGTTTTTCGAAGGTTAAGTCGTAATATGAAATTATGGTTTTTTGCGAATAATATTCTATTTTTATAACTGCAGAGAGTTTGTAACTGTTACTCATGACAGCTGCGCTTATCTTGAAAATGGATCAAAACGTCAAATAAGGTGGAAAGCCACAGTTTTGTGAAAATGAAAAGCGCTTGTGGTATAATTTTTAAGATTCAAAAACTTACTCCAGTGCTGCATTACTTGGGTTCATAAACATTTGCAAAAACTGGGAATATGGTAGGGATTTTGATAATTTTCATCTAGGTCGAAAAATGTCGCCAAATTGGCTATTTTTTAAAAAAAGTTAAATAACTTTTAAAATGTTTAAGTTATTTGTCTGTTCTAAAACCTAGAAAAGTCTTCACGGCAAGTTTACACAGATAGTTTAAAATCATCGCATTGCTCCGAGTGTGAGGCAATTAAACTATGTTTTTTAAAATTTTCTTGGGAGATAGAGCTTCGAAAAACAGCGTTAAGATATTAGACCGTAATTTTTGCAGTAATTTTTATTTAATTTGAGTGATTCAGCGATTTTATGGTAATTCAACAATTAAAACATTGCGGTATATCAGATTTTTTTAATTCAGTAGAGTGTTCCATTTAAAATGAATTTAATGGTAAAAAGTACCACACCTTGAGTACCAATACTTTTTACCGGAACTTTATCCGGAATTTCTTACAGTGTAAGTTATTTTTTATATATATTTTTTTCTTCGGATCATTAGATCAAAAGTTATACAGGACGTTCGCTTTTTTGGAACACTATACAATATTTTAAAATGTTTAATATTTCATTAAAAAAAGGTCTTTAAATTAAAAGTTTACTTTACTATTCATAGGATTAGAAGACAAATTATTACATTTAAAAGGACAAATGATGTATATGGAAGAGTGGAAGAGTATGGTCTATCTAGGAACTCCTGTGTAAGTTGAATTTTAATTTAAAAATTTGTAAAATTCATTTTATGTCAGTGCATATTACTCTAAGTTGCAGTTTTTAATAATTTCCTTCAGTATATGTTATAATCATTGCTCTCATTATATTTAATAAACAATGCCTACATTTTTATTTATTATAAATTTGTATTGTTTTTACATATTTTATAGATAATTATTCCTAACAGTAATTATATTTAATAATCATTGCTCTCATTATATTTAAAAAACATTGTAAACTGATTAACCAGGTCGCATGATAGCATTTAAAGGAATGGTAAATTTGAACTAATAAGGATGAGTTTAGAACAAGGCAGCTCAAAATAGTGTAATTATTAGTGGTAGTTTCCTTACAAAAAATAAGGTGTTTTGAGGTTGACAGGTTAAAAAAAATATACCTGAGATAGAAAATGAGATTATGTTTTGGACCAAAAATGACCTCATTAATAAATCTCAATTTCAACCTTATTTACCCTTCACAAAATCAGCCTCATATCTAACTCAGAAATAGTTTTAATTTAGATCGGGTGAAATTCACATCTCAAATATATGTATTTGCTTGAAGATAAGAAAAATAAATCCATACACTTCAAAAACAACCTCCCTAAGCTATTTGCTCTAAAGTAGGTTTTTATCAACCTCAAAACAACCTCAAGTGTGAATGAATACATATTTTGAATATGCACCTTGGGAGGTGGATATTTTAAAAATGTTTTTGTAACCAACTTCGAATAAATCTCAAATCAATCTTGACATTTAAAAACAAACTCATATAAACCTCAAAAATACCTTACATTTTTGTAAGGGAAGACAATAGCACCATTTTTTCACTCATGCCAAATACAATCAGTATAATCATAACTTTTTGATTACCTCTAATCGCCTTAATTATCACAATTTGATAACATTTGTTTGACCTCTGTTTTTGATGCAAACCCTTATTGAAAATATTTTATATTAACTATTCCCAGCTGCTCATTCTAGACGCCAATAACAACAAAATAACAACAACACTTAACGTCGTCAGTAACAACAAACACTTAACGATAAATACTCACATTAAGCCATTAAAAATTGTACTGCAGCGCGTTCTATAATTTTCCATATTAGCACGACTTTACATTAACGTCATATGCTCTCATGCGAGCTGGTTTATCATTTATATACAGTTTAAGGTGCACTCCACATGCTGTGGCTGCTATATTTCTAATGCTGTCACTTGATTCACATCTTATTTGAGTAACCTTTCTCCATAGTATTAATATCTAATATAAATATATTTTTAAATTTTTTTTCTATCTTGTTTTCGTGTCTTTCTCAGCGTTCATAAATAAACGAAATCTATTTTCTATTTCTTAAGATCAATTTCTTAAGCTTCTTCGAATAAGCGAAACATTTACCAAGTCCAAAATTTAATATTAAGAAATACTTATATCCTACTTTTGCTACCAAAATATATCTACACACTAACTGGTCGTTTAATCAATGGTAAATAATTGATTGTTTGCAAATGGGGGCAATTTTATTTAACAGAAAAGTATATTCTTGGAATGCTATAGAAATACATAATATCCCTATCAAGATACCTTAGGAATTTTAAAAAAAATCCTATGAAAAGCAATACTTGGTAAAAAAAATCTTAAGTTTTCATTATTATCCTCGCAGTAAGTTAGATCGAAATGTTGCAACAATATAATTAGGAAGCATTACACCACGATGTCAGAGGAACCAACCAATGTTCTTTTAATGGCTTTTAAAGCCGATATAAAACGACCTTCATTACAATAGTTAAATTACAAAATCCTTATCCATGAGCAAAGAAGTTTTTAGAAATATCATTAGTCTTTATTACCAAACATTACTGAAAGGGAAAGTGTAGTAAGAAAAAACACTGTAATGGTATTATTTATAAAAGATTAAGCAAAGATTTGATAAATTTCCTCTGCGTTCTATTAAGACATAACTATTATAGTAAAGTTTATAAGCAGAATTTTACTTTCCATCATTTTGAACTTATCTTGCATATTTATCCTTACTAAAATTTTACTGCTTGTTTTCATTTTTAATGATACGTAAACTAATAACAATGCATACTTATTATTTTTTTTTCATTTGAAGAAGTTATTTCAGTCTGCACTAGCCACATGACATTCGGTCAGTGTGGGCAAATTATGCATTTCATCTATTCACAGTCAGAATTTTTTCGGGAAAAAAATGGTTAAATAACAATTTATTTCATTGTTATTTTATCATATTCAAACAAAAGAGTCAAATAACCATAAAATCGCCATAAGACAGTATTCAAACTGTTAGCCGTAAGAATAACTGTTTATTAACTGCTTTCAACTTATACTGTTAAACAACCAGATATTTATCGCACCAAGTAGAGGCACTTTATTAAGCTACTTGCAGCGTCCATTACATATTATATGCAGCGTTCATTACATATCCAGATTGCATTACATATTATAGCCGAGAGGGCTAATCTGGTGATCTCATGACAGAACGAAGATTCGAGTCCAAGCATTCACACCACAATACTTCTTTCATTCCCTTCAACAAATGGAGAATTTCCAGTGTCCAGCACTTCCCAATTTATGACCCTGGACTATTAGATTACGATACTCTCATTCACGCATAGATGACACCACCATAAAGCTGCTTCGTACAAAAAGATTACAATACTTGATCTAAATGTTTTCTTGTCTTCTGGAGTGGGGTCAAAATTACAGGGCGTCGGAGTTGAACAACGGTAGCCGTAAACTCAAAATTGCGTCGTTTGTTCAACGATGGTTATAATAATAAATAATAATAATAAGATTCGAAGTAATTAAATAGTTTATGTTGACTGGTTCTTTTTTTGGGGGGGGGATTTTTCTACGTGAAGTAAAAACTAGTCGTAATGACTTTAAATACATTATTGCTAGAAACAATGTGTTAGTTATGTAAATATATTGTCCATCTAATTATAACAATGAAAGGAGTAATAGTAAGAAAGATGGCTTTGTCTTTATTTCAACAAATATTTGAATCGTTTCATTCGGCGATAAGTTGATATTTAAAACCTAGCTTCTTACATAATTTATATAAAGTATAAAATATGAAAGATTAAGCATTAAAGAAATTGGAGATGAAAAAAGCAACTTTAGATTGCGAAGTCATCGAAAATAAACTGTATAAGCACTTTCGGGAGCTGATGAGCGATAGCGAGGAGAGAGTGGAATTATTTAGAAATAAGAAAATATTTTTTTATTGAAGTTGTTTTTAAATTTTATTTTATGAAGTAGTTTGAAAAATCAGTATTAAATCTTCTTAGCTGAAAGATAAACGCATTGACAGAATTTCGGAAATTCACACTTTTCTAGTGCTTTTAAAATAATAATGATCATAATAATATATTTATATATATATATATAGCATAATAAATAAATACAAAAAACACGAAGAAAATTAAGAGAAACAATAAGTATTATTTATTGCGCATAAGCTGCAAGTAAATAGAACTCATAAAATAAGTTCAAAATGAAGAGAAAACAAGGGAAAAATTACAGAACAATGGAAGAAGGGGGAGGGAGAGATAATAATAATAATAAAAATAGCAAGAAACCGAAAGAAAAAAAAAATTCGAAGAAAAAGGCAAAAATTCTTAAAAAATCCGGATTTTTATGAAGAAATAAAGAAATTTCCTTTCATAGCAAACATTTTTTAATAAAAAAACATTAAATTTTTTAAGCATTTTTCAGAAAATTAGGAAAAGAAATTTTTGTTACAACCAACGTTACTTTTCTTTAAACTAAAAAAAAGTAAAAGGATTTTATAAAAGGATTTTGAAAAAAAGTGAATTTAAAATAATTAAGAGCTAATGAAAGCACTCTCTCTTTTTACTCAAACTTTCGTTAGTTGTAATGAAAATATAACTACTACAGATGTTCCAGTAGTTTACCATGTATTTACGGATACTAGCAACGGAAATGAAATCGGGATTATATGTGCCTGGAAATATATATATTACTGACTACTGATATTTGTAACAGTTATCGTATGATCATATATAAATATGATCTGTGATAGTTACTGGTACATGATTAATTGACAATCTCACTAAAAGATTAAAACCTAGATTTTCATTAAAACCAATTCCACTTCTAAAAACTAAAGTTATTTTAACCAAGTTTCGTGCCTTAAAATACTTTTAACTATTCAAAACAAGCTGAAACTAATCTGAAAATTAAAGCGTTATTTAGAAAAAATTAACTGTCTTCATTATGCTTACTTTTAACTCTTTATACTCATTGATATTTAATTGCACTTTTATATTAATTCGCTAAACCAGAAAACTTTTTATTTAAGCCAATTCAAATCTAGAAAACTTAAGTTATTTGACTAAACTTGGTGCGTTTAGGTACTTTTAACTGTTCAAAACAAGCTAAAATTAGTCTGAAAGTTTAAACGATATTTGGACAAAATGAAATATTTTCACTGTGCTTACTTTTACCTATGATATTACTCGTTGATATTTAATGGCACTCAACCGTTAAAGAATAAATGTATTTTAAAACTTCTAACAGAAAGTCGTTAAATTTTTCTTTCTACTGATTTTAAGTGAACTCTTAAGCCCATTTAATATTCTTGGAAATAAATGTTATACCATTATATTTCGCATTAGCTATTCGTGTTTGCTTTATCTTCAGAGTGAAATAAACACGTGGAAGTTAAAATAAAAGGATGATACTACTTAAAGAGATAGTGTCTGTAGCGTTAAAAATGTACTTACGAGTAATAAATTTAATGTGAATATCAATTGTGTAAATTTTTTATTTTATTTTTTTTGAACAATTTTGTAAAATTTAGTAGAGTAATTGAAATTGATTCCAAGCAGCATTGTTAAATTTTCTTAGTGTTAGTTTAAAAAGATAGTTCTATTTTGTAATAATTAATTTAAGTTAAAAAGTACATTTTTATGTAGTGAAGATAAGCAATAGTTTTTCATCGGATAATGAGTTCAGCACTTAAAAATGAATATTTTAATTAAATGTGAACATAAATAAAATAAAAAAAATTCCCCTTTGTTCTTAAGATTTTGAAGGATAGATTGAAATAGCTTCCGATTTCTATAATTATCTTTTTTCAACTTAATTTTTTCTAAAGAAAAATGTTATTTTAAGAGTGAAATAGCATTCACGATGTAACTATTTGACTATATAATCCTTAAGAAGAATACGAGATAAAAAAAAAAGTTAAACTCAGAAATGTCAAACATAAAATTGTAGAGATATAGGGAATATCATAGATATAGGGGTTCTATCATAGATATAGGGTATAATATAGACATATAAACTATTGCTCTATATTAGTCCTTATATACTGCAGTGAAGTAGCATATTTCGTGAGCAAATTCTCTACTCAAAAACTAATTAAATTTAAACCCTAGATTGTGTACTAAGGATGATGCTATACGGCAGCATCTGCAGTTGTATTCTATTTAACTGTTCTAATATAATTATTTGTGAAATTTATCGTTGGGTTTTGCCTTTTGATATTTCCATCGCAAACATTTATTCTTATTGATAGTGTTAAAGAACGTAGTTGGTTTTTATTAATGCAAATTTATCGGCCTAACTGTAAAAATAAAACTCACTACTCCGTAAAAAACTTCGGGATCAAATCATTGTATAAAGTACCAGCACTTTGGGTGCACCATCCGTAAAATCCAGTTTACCGTAAAATCCATAATAACCGTAAAATATTATACCCTAATTTTTATAGTAATATTTATTTAATGAGAGTGATTATTACTGTGAAAATTACGGTATATCAGATTTTTTGTTCAATAGCATGTTACGGCATCTTGACTGTTGATACTTATTACCGAAATTTGATCCTGAATTTTTTACTGTGTATAACAAATGTGTATTTTTTACTTTTGAATTTAATAGCTCCGCATCCTACTCGCTTTGCTAAACAACCCTTAAAATTTCTGCATAATCATTTTTAAATACATTCTTGAAATAATTTTATTTATTACCTAATGGGTTCTGACTTCGCTCACGAAATCTCACGATTGCTACAATTATATTTTGTTCAATTATATGTACAATTATATGTAGTAATAAGTTGAAAGATCACAAAATATTGTTTTATTGCATAAACACAGTGTTGGTATCACGAATTTATATCCCGATTTTAATGTTACAAAAAATCTAAACATAATCATTTTGAATGGTTAAAAAAAACCTTTTTTCAATTCATCTACAATTTTTACTACATATAAACACAATAACCATTGCCTACATTTTTATTTATTATAAATTTGTATAGATTTTACATATTTTATTTATAACTATTTCTAATAGCAATTATATTTAATAATCATTGCTCTCAATATATTTAAAAAACATTGCCTATACTTTCATTGATGTTCAATTTGTGTAGTTTTAACATATTTTATTTATAAATATTCCTAACAATAATTATACATTGCCCGCAGTAGGGTTTAAAATTGGAAAAAAATGTTCTAATAAATCGCTATATGTGTTTCATTTTAGGGTGTATAGTTTTTGTAGAAAAAGACTTAAGTAGTTTTGTGATGTGAATTTAGAATTATTTTTATCTCGAACCTTTGTAAACTTGCTATGTTGGGCTAAGATTGTAGTTTCTATATTTGGTGACAAAGGCCCGAGAAAGGTTCGCAATGTAGGCTTAATATTGGGGAATCTATATTTTATCATATTTGTTTATATAAGGGTTGCGTAAAACAAGTAATGGACAAGTTTAATAGCATCAGAAATATATTAATGAGAGCACTTTAGAGGGTTATAAAGGAATGTAAGAGGAGTTCGCCGCAGATTATGTTGACTGGTCAACCAGGTCGCATGACGGCATTAAAAGTGAGGGTAAATTTGAACTAATAAGGATGCGTCCTGAACAAGACAACTCAAAATAGTGTAATTTTTAGTGGTAGTTCCCTTAATACCTGAGATATACCTGAAATATACCTGAGATAGAAAATTAGGTAATGTTTTGCACCAAAAATAACCTCATTAATAAACCTAAATTTCAGCCTCATTTACACCTCACAAAATCAGCTTCATATATAACTTAGAAATTATTATTTAGAATTTATTATATTTAGAATTTACAATTTAATACATATTAAGTTTCTGATTACTATATCAAATCCTTGTATGTTTTATGTCAAAGAGACTTAGTGCTAAAATTAAATTCCTAAGATTGCACTGAAATTTTCTATTCAATATTTCACAAAATAATATCCACAAATAATTGTGTTATACATACAATAAATTAATTGTGAAAAATGAAATAGTGCTTTCATCATCAAATTATTGAAAATTGCCATTTTTAGAATGCGTGACTTGGATGCAATGGTACATACTGGACTCTACATCAATGATCTAAGCATGCATGATTTTAGCCGAGATATGGTGCTGGCCGGACAACAACAATCCGCAGAATTGAAGCTGGCTTTGGATCAGGTTTGTTTATTTTTCCTACTTCTTAATTATTTTACTAGGCAGAAATTTTTTAAAAAAAATTTCCCGTTTCCCAGATGAATATTTTTAATTCCTAATGGTTTCAAGCTGAACATAAATATGATAAGGAAAACCTGAGAGCCGAGATGGCTCAAGGGACAGAGAGCTCGCTTTCAAATGAGGTGAATCGGGTTCGAATCCCGGTAGATACCATATCTGCACCCGGCTTGCACCGACCACAGTGCTGACGTGAAATATCCTCAGTGGTAGACAGATCATGGCTTTGAGTCCACTTGCCGTCAGGTTAATCGTGGGAGGTTCTCGTGATCTTATTCTCCATGTAATGCAAATGCGGGTTAGTTCCATCAAAGAGTCTTCCATTAAATCAAATTTTTTTCTCAATACTTGATCCATGAGTTCCTTTGTCTTCTGGATTAGGATCAAAATTACAAGACTACGGAGTTGAACATTTGTAGTCGTAAATCCAAAATCGGATCGGCTGTTCAACGACGGCTACGAAATAAAATAAAAAGAAACACCTGAAATATCTGCGACTTTTTTCTTGCACCACACATGCATTGTTTAGAAAAGTATATTGTTACAAATTTTTAAATATTTGTATAATTTTGTAATTATTTTTTTGTCATGAGGCTAAATGCCTCAGACGGACTAGGAATGATCCAAGAAGAAGATGAAGAGAAGAAGATCTAAGAATGATCTTTCGAACAAATTAGAGAATTTGTAAGAAAGGCGTGGAATTCTAACGTAATTTTGAAAGAAAATAAGGCTTAATGCATTCGTTGTGGAAGTTTCGATTTGGCAAAATTTTTGCCGACTTGGCGATACTTGGCGACCACAGTATCAGAATGATTATGACAGTCTAGGTGACAGAATGATTGTTCTGAAAAATTCGAGTTTCAAAGCGATAGGATCAATATTTGCGGGAATAGTCTAGAATCATATCGAATCATATCTAGAATCAAGTTCCGAGGTGACGCAATACCTTTCAGATGAGAGGAGGCCTTAGTACTGGTTACCATAAATAAGAAATTTGATCATTTAGTAGTCCAAACGTAATGTCATCTTTCTTGCTTTCCCAAACTGCGCACCTTAGTAGCAAGAGAGTAGTGACATCTTTCTTATTTTTCTCCATTACGCAGTTTACGTTCGTTACGTCGGACTACTAAATTAATCCGTGCTGAGGCCTTCTCTGTTCTAGGAGGTGTCGCAGGTGTCGTCGCCAAACCTATATAAATATTAGTGTTCCTCGTAGAGTAGGGATTAGTTTGCTTGCGACTGCGGTAGTTCTGCTTTGCTAGTCTGTAGGGAACCGCGTTAAAAAGTCTATGTTACGCTGTATTACGCTTTTATTTGAGCTGTAATTGAGAGCTAAAAATAGCTGTATTTTCTGGAAGATTCTGTTAAGATTTTTTCAGAAGTCTTTTGGACTGTTTTGTTCATTTCTAATTGAAACGAGCCCCTGCGCTCGGTACGGTATAGATGTCCATATGCTTTAATATACATTAAGAACACCTTAATATGCTTGAGATTTCTTAATTGCATTGTAAATCTGTATTTCTTTACTTCAAAGAAATTTCCTAAACTGAGAGTTTCTGAAAGGCTGCTTAATCTAAAATCTCGCAAAATTTGATTTAATGTATTTTTTATTTTATTTTTTTGACACTGAGTAGAGGGAAGTTTCTTTGCTGGTTTTGGACAGTATATGTACAAGGTATATTATATCTGTATAATAATAATATTAAATAATAAAATATTATAATAAAATGAATTTGATAGAACAATAAGAGCTGAGGTGGCTCTGGGGATAGAACGTTCGCCTTCCAATGGGGTCAACAGGGTTAGAATCCCAGCGATGGCTGGTCTATACGAATTCCACACCCGGCTTGCCCCAATCACAGTGCTGACGTAAAATATCCTCAGTGGTAGACGGATCATGGGTTTGAGTCCCGTTACCATCAAGTTAGCCATGGGAGTTTTTCATAGTTTTCCTCTCCAAGTAACGAAAATGCAGGTTAGTTCCATCAAAATGTCTTCCACGAAGGCAAATTTCTCCAAATACTTGATCTAGAAGTTCCCTGGTCTTCTGTAGTGGGTTCAAAATGACAAGGCTACGGAGATGAACATTAGTAGTCGTAAACCCGAAAATTGGATCTCCTGTTTAACGACGGTTATAAAATAAAATAATATAATAAAATAATATAGTAAAATAATATAATACAGTGACTTGCAGCACCGTACATACATATATTGCATTGTACTTTAATGTAATGCAATATAAAGCATGTGATGCATTATATTTAAGTTTGAAAAACGCATCCTATGTAACGAAAAACCTAAATTTTTTTGCAAAGAGGGCTAATTACCTTTTTTTTAGTATTGTATTTCTGTTTAGCAGGTTAAACTCATTCAGGATCAGGTACTCTCACCTGAGAACTGTTGAATTAACTGTTGGTCTCAGTCATCAAATATCTACACTAACCATATTGCACTTAGCACTTAATTTGCATTGATAAATATTTTTTCCCATAAAAGCTAAAATATCGAAACGCTTTTTAACTTATTATGAAATATAGTATTTTTATTTTTTTTAAAATCTGGTTTTCTATTTTTAAGAAATATTTTTTAATTCATAGAATCTTCAAACTTGAATTAATTTACTAGAAAAAATTTTATCTTTTCACGTATGCATTTTTTCTTAATATATTCGAATTTGCCTAGCTTTCAACTGTCCCTTGCGTTTAATTAAAATTATCGATTTGTTGAAGACATTCTGAAGATTTGTGGAATCATTATTGCGTAATTCTAAAAAGAAAAATCTTGTTAAGAATTTACTACAATTCCCAATTTATCTCAGAAAAGGTGATTAAATTAAATTCTTTGACTCTCAAATTGATTATGCAAATACATTTTAATTGGAATCGTGTTATGCCTTTGACCACGGAATAAAGGGAGGAGTTATTTTCAATATTGGCGGTATTGTTTCGGCGTTAGAAAGGAAAGTGACTCGCCAAAACGACTTGTTGATGGAATAAATATATTCGACAGACTAGACAGTAAGTACTGTCGGAAATTTACGGATAATGACTGCAAATTGACTGCGTGTTCCATGTCAATTTAGTCAAAGGAGGGATTTTGCGATAAAGAATTATTGGGTGGAATAGTTGTAAACGAGTTCGCGGAATGGATAGATTTCTATTTTTCGCTTTATTATGCTTTCGAGTTCAATGATAATTTTTTTTTTTGTATAAAAATTTCTTAAAATTAACTTTCCTCAAAAATATTCTATAATGATCTGATTGTTTAATGTAAGAAATATTAAATTTTAATTCTTTTTAAAATTATCTGCTTTTTTGTTTAATTCGGACAATGTAATACCGTCTGAAAACAAACTTTATACTTACTTTCACGAAGCCTTATGGAGGTTGATTTATTTTTTTTACGAAGTTTGATTGTAAGTAACATCTTTAAAAAATCTCATTAGAAATGGTCTGTCAGTTAAAATTAGAATTGAATGATTTTCATTAGTGTTAGTGCTAACTCATTTAGCATAAAATTTTATTTTTGTACACGGAGAACAAAATTTTGCAAAATTGTATTGTTTGAAATAATGTGTGTAAAAAGAATCTAAAACAGTATGCATGTAATCGTGATGTTTCTGGTAAAAAAAACTGTAATTCTGGTTAATAAAATAAAATATGGTATTTAAATAATTAATTTGGTAGTTTTTCCGTTCATATGGTAATAGTTTACTGGTAGAATTTTCTTTTCTTTGATTCAAATTATGGCAGCTGCAAAATTTTATAAAAATAGTGTTTCTAAGTTCTCCTTTAATAAAATACATTTGTTTTACAATAAATTATGCATTAATTTAAAAGTTATTCACTTAAATATAAATATATCTAAATACAAGGTAATTTCTGTTTATCTGTCACAGCAATATTTTATTATAATAATGAAAAAATCTTTTATTAATTATAAATACACTTGTACAGTTTCAAAGATCACATACTAAGCTCAGTGTAAGAAAAAAATCTATTATATTACGAAACATATCTGGCAGCAAAGTTGCCATAGATTATCCGTATGATACAGAAAAATTAAGTTATCGAAAATTTCCTGTAACAAACACTACAGAAAACATCTGTACGCACCACATCAGGGTATGATAGATGAGGGGTTCCATAGAACAGGGTATGACAGATTAACCTGGCGTGAAGATAGCTGCATACCATCTGGTTGACATGGTGAAACAGATTTCTAGAATTTTGATTATTTTTTTTAACATCTCATTTTCAGACTTTTGATAATCGTTAATTTTAAAAGAATCATGTTAATTTTTTTACTTTTTTCTATCGCTTAGTTCAGATGGAAATCGAACCCAAGACCAGCCTAGTATGAGGCCAATTCCTTGATCAAATTTGGCGGGAAGGTAGCTGTATACCTTCTAGTTGGCATAGTGATACAGATTTTCTAGTATTTTGGCAATTTTAGTCTTTTGAGAATCATTTCTTTTGAAGGAATCGTGTTAACATTTTCTTCCATCGTTAAGTTCAGACGGGATTCGAACCCGAGACTTTCATGGTATGAGACCAACTCCTGGACCACAGTACAATCTAATCGACATCTGTTTCAATACATCAAATAATTTGTTTCAGTTTTGATACCTTAGTTTTTCATGTTCAAAACTGAAAAAAGAAATCTGTACCCAACAGATATAGTCTGTCTCAATTGTTACATATTTTTGTTCACAGAAAAATATCTCTTTTTGTAGATAACGATGTAGTTTAGCAGTAAAATTTTGTAGTTTTAGAGAACGGGAATTTTCGGTAGGAAAGTTACAGAATTATTATGTTTTTAATAGAAATTGTTTACAGTGCTTAGGTTGATTTCAAATTTTCAAATTATTTTATGTCTTTATTACAAATTATTATCTATAATTGTTTGTCTCTTATTTATCATAATTGATAAATAAGAGACAAACT